TATTTCAGCTACAATTGAGCCATTTAGACTTAATATCAGCTCTCCTCCTTCTGTCACTGCTATTATTTCGTTGGAAAACACACAATTCACTCGATGTCTGCGATATACAGAGTTTGTTCTATGTGTCCAAGAAGGATGTACAGGACATAACTGATAATATCAAGAGGAAAGAAACAAGAGCTTTTATTAAGGTTAGAATAGAGAGATTGTTTCGCAGTTTCAAATTGAACTTCTAATCTAAATTTAAGATGATGTCTTCAACATTTCCTTTCGAAAATCCATGTTAGCAATTTAAGCTTTAATAGCTTGTCTTAATAAAAATGTTCGCAAATGAATTTAAGCTTACTTTACACGTCCAGCAAAAAGAATTTGGGATTAATTGGATTATAAGGTGGTAAGATTATTGCTAGCAATCAACTAATGTGCTCTCAGATACAAAATGGTTTATGGATGGCACAATTCGTAAAACAAGTTTGAAGAGAAAGAGCTAGAAACTTGGCTAATTCGAAAGAATCAGTATCTTGACTTATTAGATTGTGTAAGATCAGGATGAGTATGCAGATGTATTGGTAAAAGTGTAACGGTTTGTTAAGCTATTATTAGTATACCAATTAAGTAATAGCAGAAATAAATACGCTTACTTAGCCGCATCCGAGTCGAATATTGATTCCGTTAACTGTGTCAGTGGCCCCGAAATAGTTTCTATTTGCAGTTAGAGTCGCACGGAATTGATTATTTTAACTTTCACTCTTTAGAAATGATACTCATGCATATCATTGAGCACTTGCTTCATCATCAACAATAGCTAGACAACTTGGTCGTATTGACGTCGAGTGCCTTAAAACCTTAAACCTGTTGGACTGTTGGTCAATATTGAAAATAATAATAACAATCTTATTAATTTTACTAACACGTTTGGCACTTGATTCAGACGTTCTCTGTGCAAAATGGCAACATTTTAAATTGTATGCTTGATTCGATGAGGACACAAATTGGCAGGTCAACAGATTTGAGCTTAAGCTCTTTTTGCCAATTCCTAGTTGTACGTGTTGTTTGTTTGCAACGGGGCTGTCCACTATATCGACAATAACAACATCACAGATTGAGCATATATCGTTTTTGAGTTGCTTCCTGAGTTGACGTTGACATCAATTTAAAATCGATTCGGAGTTGAATTTGAAAAAATGCAGAAACTTTGCCACATTTCCATTTCAAATTTAGTGCTTGTGTGTCTGGATGCCACATGGAATACAACTGAGCGAAGAATGGGTAATTATTGGACGCAGTTATTGCGGTATACGACCAGGACCTGTTTGGAAGCTGAAGTTAAGGAAGATGTAAATGTAAATGTGAATATGGAGTTGCGACAAATGTGGCAGATGGAGCAGCAATCGTCCAGCGAGAATGAGGAGGTGGCCTACTACAGCCAAACCCTGCCCTGGTGCGTCCACCCGTCGGCTACCACTGCCAAGAGAATGGGGAGTGACTGTGGGCGTAGTGGCAGTGGTGTGGCACATTATTTAAAAATGTAATTTGATGACTTTTTGACTCGAATATCAAATATTGCCTACCAATTTATTAACTTGAAGCTGACATATTTTTTGTTCAATCAGCAACTTTCACTTGCCTGTTGTTGGTTTTTTGTTGGTTGTTTTAGACGATTTTATCGCTTGCTGTGTGTATTTTTGAATAGATTGAAGTTGTTGCACTGCTTGGCAACTGTTGAAGTCAATTTGGCGCTGATTGAACAACTGGCTCGTTGGTCTAGGGGTATGATTTCCGCTTAGGGTGCGGGAGGTCCCGGGTTCAAATCCCGGACGAGCCCAAGTTGATTTACATTTTTGACATTTTTTTTTACATTCCCCTCAGTTGTCTTCAGCTGCCTACTACAAACGCAATAGCCAAAATATTCGAAAAAAACACAAAATATCATATATAAATAACTAAAAAAAGAAATACAAACAAGACACACGAAAATTTGACTTATTTGCATAATGAGAATAAATGATAATATATACAAACTTGTCTATATTATTTATGTAAGAGAGAAAGAGAGAAGATATCTATAGTCGTATAATGAATAAATTCTTGATCACCATAAATAACGTTCAATGTTTTTGTTGCAATGCTCTGCCTATAAAATCAACTGTAAGCTTATCGAGGTAACATAATTAAAAATGGTTATTTCATATAAAATGTGATATTCTAGTGTGAACTTCATTGGTTGTAAGTATTTAGATTTCTTTTTTTGCATTCTATAGACCGATGGGGCTTATTTCTTATTTTGAATCTGCAAGGCGATTAAAATCAGTAATAAACTGCATATCTAAACACCGTATAACAACATATAATACCAACTTTATATTGATCGATCGAATATAATTATGAGCGCTAGAAAATCGAGAATGTATTTGAACAAACGAACTTAAGATTATTAGACCTGTGCAAAGAATATTTCCTAGTTGAACATTAAATATGTTTTCAGACTCCGATGCCGATATTGATAGTAATATATTTCGTATTTTTTTGTATACCCGGAAATTAACTACGTGCTGTGTTCAAAGTAAAATATTAAAGCTTTCAGAAATTTTAACTATACAGCTATTACACGATTAAAACTATACCCACAATTTAATATAAGTAAAAGTAACAGTATTATGAAATTATTTATAAATAAAGATTGATTTAAAAACAAAAATAATACTTTTAATCATGGGCTGTACTGAAGAGAAGAGGACATTAGTCGTGCTGAGTCAATCACGCAAAATGATGCAGCATCGTGGCACCTGCAGCAGGACAATATGGTCACGAGGGTTGTCTTAATTGTAATCCGTCTGATGACCTCTTGGCCTTTGACCGTACATAACACTTGCAAAGCAAATTATGCAAAATATGCGAAACAAATTGCCGGCGCAGCACTGCGCTGCCACTTGATAGAGTATGTCGGCAAAGGGTGTGCAGTGGTGTGGCGGCTTGGAGGAGTCGCAGCCATGTTTCGTAATTACTTAAAATGCAAAACTACACCCTCAAACTTCCGCATGCTTGCGTATACAATATAAATGTGTGTGCTTTCTATTGTTTTGGCATGCTTGCAGCAGCAGCAGTGACAGAAGCAGTGGCAGCAACAAAAACCATAATAACAACAACATTGGTGGCAACACAGCAGGCAGTCAACGTTGATGTTGCTTCCTTGACGGCTTTGAAGGCTGTGGAGCTGAAACTTGGGCGTGGGTCACCTGCTGCCACATCGTCAACATCATCATTGCCATCTTCTTTATTTTGTGCACTTAAGCGCCTTTTACTTCGTGCATAATTTCTTAGCCCTGCACTCAGAAAAACGAGATGCGTTGGATTTTCTTGCGGTTTTACTAAAAATAATTACTTAAGCAGATAGATTTGCTGAAACATCGCTTCACATTTTGTATTTTTCTGCCACCAAGTAATCTCATTCGATTTACAAAAGGGAAATATTAAAAATAAGAAACGTAAATTTGATTTTCTAAATACATTTTTCTGAGTGTAAGCAGTGTGGCTGTGACACAACTGGGGGCAGCTTGGTAGCTCGGGAGCAATGTACTGCGATTTAACTGGTTGCTGCATCTGTCAGCTGAATTCAACTAATTTTCACGGTCGATTTTGGTATATTGTCGACGAAATCGAATGGTCATTCGATACAAAATGTTGCATAGACAAATTGACAAATTGCAAGTAGGCCACGCCCTCCGCACGTGGCATGCAGCGCAGGCTAGCTGCCTTTGTGTACCCTTTTGTGATGCTGCTCAACTCTCCAACTCTGTATTTACACAGCTTCCCATCAGCATTTCACCCTCAGCTTTCTCGTTTGTCGTGTGTCGTTGGTTGCTTGTCTATCTGCCTGTTTCTGTGTTCCATTAAGAGTAGCTCTTGGGCATGAATGTCATCATCAGGACAAGTGTTGCAGCGCGCTCACATGGGACAAGCAACAGCAACAGCAACAACAACAACAACACCAGCAGTTGCTGGGGTGAAAGTAAAAATTACACTTGCAACAGCAACTGCAGCAGGGCAACGAAATTTTTGTAAAACCGTCAAAGGCAAAAAAAAAAGTTGACGTTTGTGATCCTGCAGCTAAAAATTGAGCTGGCACTGGAGCTGAAGCTGCTCCTGCTACTGCTACTGCTACTGCTGGTGCTACTGCTACTGCTGCTGCTGCTGCTGTTGCTGCTATGACTGATTCTGGGGTTGTCCCAGCGCTCGAGTTCGTTAAACCTTCAAGCATCGAAGCTTTCATTTCTTGAAAAAACCCCCAACAACAACAAACTACAACATACCAGTGGGGCGCGAATCTCAGCTGCAGCAACTGCCACAGCAACAGCAACGGCAACAGCAACGGCAACATCAGAACGTCAGACGAGCAGGTCGGAGCAAGTCGCGATACTCATATCGCAGATACTTTGATGCCAAGTGCTGGTTGGGGGCATTCAGACCGGGAGCACACTCCAAAAACTTAGCTGAGTGCGCCCTATCAAAAGTCGATGGTGACTGTTGGCAGACTTGGGGTTCGTGCGGAGGAGTCAAGTATATTGCGTTAAATTTTAATTAAACAAGCCACACGCACTTTTTCCACACTGCTGCAATCGTATGAAGACTTGTTCCTTTGTTATTATTGTTGTTTAATGCGGCTCGCTAAGTGCTCATAGCTCTGTGATTTTCAGCTTCAAGTGAGCGGAAATGTATTAACATTCTTATTATTATTATTATTATTATTAATATTCTTATTTGTATTAAACCACAAAATCTTTGTGGTTCAGTTATCCGTTATATTTAAATTTATCATTTCAAAATTGTGTATTTGTTGTCTACATAAATAATAATCATTTTTCAGTTTTAATCGTATAAAATATGTTGAAAAAAAATGACAAAATCTCTATATTTTAGTTCGAGTTAAATATTTTTATTCAATTACACATGTATTGCAGATACAAATATATAACTTCTTTTTAAATTGATGCCAAGAATTCAATTAAAATGAGTATTTAATTGAAAGAACAACTTCGATACTTAATGTTCAGTGTTGACCTCGATTTAATTAAAATTCTCATTTGAACTTTCAGATGAGTATCAAAATTAACTAAGTCAGCTAATGTTAGTTAGTTTTAGTTATTTAGTTTTTTCTTTTAATTCTATTATTGGTTGTTTGACGGATTTTTGGTGGAATAAATTGGCATCTGTACTGGGTAAATGTAGTCCTGTCTACTTTCTCTTCATTCCAAGCCAATCCCCGAATGCGACAGAATGATAGTTTCCAAATGCATCCAGGGCCATCACATCAACATAATAATCAAAACAGTTTTTCTTTAAAAATTTCTTTTTTTGAATATATTTCCATTGCTCTTCGTTCTTGCGGCCCATGGGATCCGACTGCTTCTCGTATAGATCGTCAATAATGGGCTGCAGGTCATCCGCCAGCGAAACATTCTTCTTCAACATTACATCCCGCAGTCGATTCTTCTGAAGAGTGGTAAGTAAATACGTTGGCGAAACATCCATACTGTACACCATTCTGCCCAGGCACTGGCAAAGATTCTGTCTCTCTATCATAAAGCAGTAGCTGTGCAGGCCAACATGCTGTTGGTTGCTTTGTAGTGGTGCAACGCGCTCGCAGCTCAACGGCACCACCTGAATTTGACCGATTTTGATTCTGTTAATATTATTGGGAGTGGGATTAGAATTTCCGACTCCTGTCGGTGCACGTGTTACCACCTGTCTGGCACGTTGGTCGAGCCCCTCACGCGGCTGGTTGAAGGACAATCAGAAAGCTAAATGGATGACGACTGCGAAAATCAGAGGCGACTGCTTACCTGGCTCGGCAGCTTTGAGCTGAGGTTTGCTGCCAAGTAATGGGTCATGTTTGGTGCCATAAATTCTGCAACATATTCGTTGCGATTTAAGTTGCATTGGCCACTGTTCGGCTTATTAGTTTGTTGTGCTTGAGAAAGAGTTTGAGTGTATGCCCCATTGTAGCCAGTTGAATCGTTCCTCTCTACTTTCTGCATATTCTAATCTTTCCAGTTAATAGTCTTGGCGGTCTCGTCGTTGCAGCAGTTGCCAAAAATTCTTAAGCTTTTCTTACGATTTAGAGGTGCACGTAAAATTGTTGAAATTTATTTAATGTAGTCAATGTTATTTGGCTCACAGTTGATATTCCAAAGAAAACCAAATGCCTACTAAGTTCGTATATGCCAAAAACATATGAATATCATTTTGTACGCTTACTTGGTTCAGTTCAGTTTGAATTGAGTTTAAACACATTCACTTTATGAACAATAAACTAGCAACAATTCGCATCTATTTTGGAATGAAATTTGAATAATTTCCCAATAAGCTGCTATTGATACACGGACCATTCACACAGCTGATATTGCAAAATAAATTATATTGTAGACTGAATATTGTAAAAATCGATTTACTGTTTAAACGCTCCGATTAACGTTAGTTGAATGGAAGCTGATTGACTACTGAAGTAAATCAATGTCTTCCTTTCACACGCGCATAGCAATCAGTGTACAGAAAACTATCTCTGGGATATATTAAGTTAATTACACAAAGTTTGCAGACAAGTCGTCTTAGATTTTCCCGTCAAAAAAACATTAAGTCGTATTTTCAAATTCTATTCAATCATGTACGAAAGAACTAATAAGATATGTATATAATGCAGCAGGAGTCGATAAATTGTATATCGCATGCCTCGCATATCCAATTTATCGGCAATCAATTAAATTTGGAAAATGTATAAAATGACTCATACATAAAAAAAAATATATATAAATAATAATAATAAAAAAAAAACAGGAAAACTATCATAAAAATCATTTTTTCATATATACAGCTATAATTGTGCTGATGATGATATACTGATGTATTAACATGAGCGCGGGCAAGGACAAGGCGACGGCGAGGCAGCTGGAGGGGCGTCGGGTACCAGGTTGGCAACTACCTGTTTGGCCAGGCGTTGCACTAATTGATTCTGCCGCTTAACTTTACAAGGCGTAATTGTTATTGAAATGCAAGCGAACCAGGCATCAAAATAACTGCAGAAAAACGATGTGCGATCCAGCTGGCAAAATTGGACGCTGTCGCGGTTGGCCTGACCTCGATGTGTCCATGTGCTCATGACCGTTGTCCGTTCTCCGCTGGGTGCGATGGTAATCGGCTTATGGCCACTGTCACTGGTCGTTGGTCCCTGGTCACTGGTCACTGGTCAGTGGTCAGTGGTCAGTTAGTGGTCGTTAGTTCAGTCGGGTTGCCTGGCTTGCTGGCAGTCAGTTCGCTGTTCTGTTTTGATGTTCGGTGCATGTCGCAGCATTTGTAAATGATATGCGCCGCTTGGCCAAGTGACAGCGCTAATGGGCAGTGACTAAGGCTGCATCTGTCTCTCAGTCGGCTGACGAGTTGCCCGGCAGCATTGCTCGCTCAATCAGCAGCGCTCAATAAACTATGAAGCTACTTGGCATTGTTTGAATACCGCTGTTGCTGCTGCTGTTGATGCTGCTGCTGTTGATGCTGCTGCTGCAGCCGCCGCTGTTGCTGTTGTTGTTGTTGTTGTTGTTGATGCTGCACTCGATCCACCAATCCAGCCACTAAGTGGCCAAAGTGTGTCGTCGTCGTCATCCGCGCACGTCCCAAGAAGTTGTTTGTCGGTTGATTGCTGTTATGTGCTGGTATGCAGCGCTTAACACGCCAAGTCAATTAAATGTTGCTTCCGCAACTTGGCCAAGGAAAGTGTAGCAGCCGAAGTCGAACCCGAACTCGAGCTTGGACGAGAGTAGCAACAATAAACGTTGTTTGCAGCTCATGTTTGATGTATCACATAGTCGAAAGCTGGCTGAGGGGACACGCGGTCCTCTGGACGCACTCGGTTAAGTGTCGATGAAGTGTTTATGGCATAAACAGCAAAAGCAACAGCAGCAACAGCAGCAACAACAGCAGCAACAACAACAGCAGCAACAACAACAGCAACAACAACAGCAACAACAATTGTAACCACAGCGTTTCAAGAGCCTGTCTTGGACTTGCTACATGCCATTATACACTCAGAAAAAAAAGTAATTATAAAATGGAATTAAAGAAAATTAAATTTTTGGTAGTTTTTTTTTTTTTTAATTGAATTTCTAAATTTTATTTTCAGAAAATAAATCAAATACTTTTTCACAAAAATTACAGACTGCTTTGGCCTTAAGAGTAAGGTTCACTGTCAACTGCCTAGGATACAGATTATTTTGCTGAGCGTAGGTGCTATCATGTACTAAAAACCTTATGGCAAGCCATTGTTGCAGTTCTTGTTGCTGCTGCCATCGACATACTAGTGTGGCATGCGTGCTATGGATCCCTGGCTGCAATGTGGATCTGCGAAAACATGTTTAGGGCTTTTTACACTTAACACCAGGCCACAGATGAGCCGCCCCCACTGCCTCACCGCCAACAACCCGTACACTAACTCCCCCCCCCCCCCCCCCTATCCTCCTCCACCAAAGCGTTGCGCTTCGTGTGGGTTATCGTTGGTCAAGTCAGTAGCACAGGCGACACAAGCGAAGTTGTTGTTGTGCCTGGTGAAAGTGAGTCGTAATCTCGCACATATTTTTTGTTTTATTTTATTTTAGCTGGCCAACTAACTTACTGCCGGCCGGGCATCAGCAAAGCAGCAGTTGGATATGGACTAAGTGGCAATGGTAAGTTGTTGTTGTTGTTGCCGTAAGTAAGTTGCTTCAGTCGATCACTCTATCTATCTATCCAATGGAATGCCTAATTTGGCAATATATTTATTACTTGTGCCTTTCAATTATTTGCCTCTTAACAACTCTAAGCACATCAACCAGCACTCAAAGATAAGCTGCTTGCTTGCTGCATTGTGGCATATCTTTATGGTTACTCTAATCGGAGATTTTTTTTTTTTTTTTGCAATGTATAACCGACAATTATTGATTTTGATATTGAAGATCAATAGATTGCCAGTTGTTTGTCGGCCACACGCATTTCACACAATTTTTCCTTTCAAACTTGAAAGTTGAATATTAAAATATTTCTCATAAAATTGGTAATAACAATTTGCGGACACGTTTTATTGATTGAACCTGTATTTCGCAGTGCTTCAGAGCTATAGTTATTCAATGACAACCTGGCTGGCGCACCACCCACAAATAAGACTTAACTTTAGATACGTTTTCCAACAAAAAAATGGCGCAAGAAATATAAATCCTGATTTGTGGCAAGACAAAAGTCGAAGATGTAAGATAACTGTTTTCTTGCAACATGAATTCTTAGCGTATATAAATATAGTTATTTGCAGTTTGTCACTGCTTTTCTTACAACACATAAACTCGATTGCCTCCATCAGCAGCAGAAGCAGCAGAAGCAGCAATCACGTTCCAATTGGAAATGCCTGAAAATGATGCGAGAATCGGGAGCAAGTTGTATAGCGTCATCGCGCAAGGCAGTTGTTGGATGCAGTGTCAAAGTCATGGCCAGAAGCAATCATTAACCATAAAGTTGCCAGTGTGGAGATTGGCGCAGTCTTCTGCTGACGCAAGACGCAGCTACTGGTTTGCAATTTGTGTGCAACGTCACATCTGCGAAGTGTTCATTAAATCCTTAAAGGCGGCGCTGAAATTATGGTAATTGTACTGAAAATGCACATACTCCGAGTAGATCGCAATTGACAATGACAAATTGTTGGGTTTATGGCATGGTGGCCAACATGTTGTTGGCCCCCTAACTGGCCAACAGCCAGCCAAAATTGCAAAAAACTTAACAACCACTGCGGCAAGGTGAATATGAACTAAAAAGAAAAGGCGCCCCAAAATCACCAACATTGCTTTCCCACATGGCAATTGAACTAAGCGCTTATTTATTTAGCTGGCTAGTCTCGCTTTGCTCATTGTTGTTGGTTGCTATGTTGCCACATTGTTGTTGTAGTTGTTGTAGTTGTTGTAGCTGTTACCCAAGCCGGTCACATAAATTAGCAGACGCTAAGCGAGTCAATTTCACTGCACATTATGGCCCAAATTATCAATGCCCATAAAGTATTTCCTCTTTGGCCGCAAGCAAAAAGGAAAAACAAAAACAGCGAAAACCCAACAAAAATGGAATATATACAAATGGTCGACTCGCAAAAACCTGTTAAAAAGAGTCTGTAAGACTTCTCATACTTTATGCACATTCACCGAATTTGATAATTAAACATTGAAATGCGGTCTGTGATCAGATATTGGATAGATTCATAAGCACATTCACAATAATCAAGTGATTAAGGCATTTTAGAAATTATGATTGATTTACAGGGTATAACCGGGTGCAGAACAACTGGAAAGACACACAAAATGCGTTCATCACGTTTCTGGCCGTTTAGTACGAAATAAATTGAAAGCCTGTTTCTGGCTAAGACGACTGGCTGCAAGGGCCGAGATGAGCACAAATGCTAAAATAATAAAGTACGAGCTGTGCCGGTGTAGCCACAGACGCCCACAAAATGCTAACAAGTAACGAGAGTAACTCCAATACACACACACACACACACAACACACACAACACACACACACACACACACACACACACACACACACACAAACACAACACACACACACATCAAATTAAACGCATCCCAAGCATTCGGATCTGGACTTGCCAGTTGAAGTTAGAGCTGGAGTGGGGAGACTTCAGCTGCATGTTGTCATGCTGCAGTTGCATTGTGGCTCTGGCTAAATAAAATCCGTTATAAATAAATGCACGTATTGCCATTACATTTCATTGTCTGGCAGCAAACACCCGCTCTCTGCCCACCCTCCTTGCCTGGCATCGCTTACACAAACGCCAGCGGTCACAACAACGAATCCAAGACTGAAACTGAGTTTGAGTTTGAGACTGGAACTACACCGAACAAAAAACAATAAAACAATATTGAAAAATATATATAAAATATATATAAAATACGTATAATAACCAAATATATCGAAGTATGGCAAATAAAACACACACTTCGCATGGATCCAGCGAAAGACATATTTGAAGTACAGAATTAATTACAAAACACCAAACAATAAACAAATTTTGCTTTTTATTTCTTTGA